GGGGGTATTTAAGGCGCTTCAGAGAGGCTTCGTTCGACTCCTCGCCCTCCAGAAATGCCTCATCGCATCGTCGTCTTCAGAGGGGAGAGCGAGAGGAGTGTGTGTGGGCGGGTGGAGCACGAAGGGCGGTTGCAAAGGCGGATCCGGAAGGCAAACGAGGTGGTGAGTAATAGGGCAGCCGGGGGACGGGTTAGAGGGGCAGACCACGACGATTGATTAGAGTAGTTGATTAAAAAATCTTTCGCTCCCTGAATTCTCGACCTCCCTCACCACCCTTCACCCACCACCTTACGCGCACAACCCTCTGCCCACCACCTCCACCAAATAATCCCTCCCCTTCACTCACCAGCTCAACGACCGACTCGACGAGCTGCGCGCGGTACTCGGCGGCCTTGTCCTGCAGGTCCTCGGGAATGTCGCGGTACTCGAACGCGGCGCCGAGCTCCTCGCCGGTCCACACGATGGCCTTCATGCGCACGAGGTCCACGACGCCCTGGAACGCGTCCTCCGCGCCGATGGGCAGCTGCAGCACGAGCGGGTTGGCGCCCAGGTTGCTCACGATCATGTCGCGCGTGCGGTAGAAGTTGGCGCCCAGCCGGTCCATCTTGTTCACGAAGCAGATCCGCGGCACTCCGTACTTGTCCGCTTGCCGCCACACCGTCTGGGGGGAGGAAGAGGGGGGAGGGGGGAATTGGGGGGGAGGAAGAGGCGGGGGGAATTGGAGGGGGGAGGAAGAGCGGGGGGAATTGGGGGGGGAGGAAGAGGCGGGGGGAATGGAGGGGGGGAAGAGGCGGGGGAATGGGGGGAGAGGAAGAGGCGGGGGGAATAGGGGGGGGAGGAAGAGGCGGGGGGAATTGGGGGGGGAGGAAGAGGGGGGGGGGAGAGAGGCGGGAGGAGAAGAGGCGGGGGGGAGAAGGGGCGGGTGGGGCACGGGGGGGAGAGAGGGAATGTGAACAGAGAGGTTGAACGTGCGAACGGACAGTGCACCCGAGGCAGGGCGAACCTGACGTACCTTGGGCAAAGAGCGTATCGGGCAGGGCAGATTCGGGATGTGCACACATGAGCCCCCCGGGCGGGTCATATCTGGGGCAGGTCGTATCTGGAGCAGGTCGTACCTCGGATTGGGGCTCGACGCCGGCGACGGAGTCGAAGAGGCAGATGGCGCCGTCGAGCACGCGCAGAGCGCGCTCCACCTCGAGCGTGAAGTCGACGTGGCCGGGCGTGTCGATGATGTTGATGCGGTGGTTGTTCCACATGCACGTCGTCGCCGCCGATGTGATCGTGATGCCGCGCTCTTGCTCCTGCGAGCGGGGCGGGGCGGGGCGAGGCAGGAAGGGAGGGGGGAGGGGAGGGGGGGGGGGGGGGGGAGGGGAGGGGGGAGGATCGGGAGAAAGAGGGGGGGAGTGGGAAGGAGTGAGGCGCGGAGTGCACGGTCAGGCGGAGCCATGGGCATGAGAGGTGTGACGCAGTCTTTATGTCTTGAAAACCCACGAGAAGACATTTCGAGTCGAGAAAAGAATCGGAGCCATGAATATTCGGGTGTGACAGAGTCCAGTCATGTGTTGGAACACCACGAGTCGATTCGAGAAAGAGTGGGTCCAGAGGCGGTGGTCGCACGTGGTTCGGGAAACTAATCAAGGTGTTGTTTCGTATTCCCCAGCCGTAGTCGCAGCCGAATCCAGTGCAGAAGCTCACCTGCTCCATCCAGTCCACGGTGGCGGTGCCCATAACCCCGTCCTTCCGTCACAACGCGTGAAGAGACCCTGTTTTAGGCGTCGAGTCTCACCTGCTCCATCCAGTCCATGGTGGCGGTGCCCTCGTGCACCTCGCCGATCTGTAGTTCTTGGCCTTTGTTAGAAAGCACGCGCTCCGTCGTCGTCGTCTTGCCCGCATCGATGTGCGCCATGATGCCGATGTTGCGGTTAGTCCTCCAGCGGCACCTGTCGGCCTGCGCGAGGCACATATATGACATTGTACATGGTACGACTTGCGGATAATGAGGCACATTATAACGCGTCGACATGCACCATGATGCCGATGTTGCGTTAGTCCTCCAGCGGCACCTCCCCACCTGCAGGACGCACACGCAACAGTGTACAAGAAGCGAATCGTTCAGAGTAATGAGGCTGCTTATGACGCGTCGAAGTGCGCCATGATGTCAGGTTGCGGTAGTCCTCCTGCAGTACCTGCGGGCCTGCACCAGTCCTCATATGGCGTTGCGCGTTCGCACATTGCATCTGACGTAGGTCCACGACTGTTAACGCCTAGAATCGTGCGCCTCAATTTTTATGGTCTGCAAAGCATTGATCCAGCATGTGACATGGTCTGTCGCCTACGACCTTACGCGATTCACGGGGTTGCCGAAGCCCCCGGGACGAGCCACGTGGCGGACTAGTATGACTCGAATGGTATCCTATTCGCAACGTTCGAGCACGGGACGCACATCCTTTCAGCCAATCAGAGTCTCAAGCCGGAGCCCGCACGCACCTCCCTCGGCCATGCAGATCACGGGGGAGCGTCCAGCGGGCGACTGATCGCGACACGGTCCGCATCTTGCGGTCAGCAGACTTCTTCCGCCTGAGAGGCCTTGGCAGCGCCGGGAAGGTCCTTGCCCGCCTTGGAGGCCCTACGAACGGCATCGCAACAGCCGCATTGCTCGATGCGACCGTGGCGGACCTGTCGCCTGCGACGGGTGCTGCGACGCTGCTGGCGACCTTTAGAGGACAGCTGGCGAGTGACGACGCCATGTTTCGCTGTTGGCGACGAAATAAGCTTCGCTTTAGGGAGCGCTGTGATAAGGGCTTCTAGGAACGCGGCCCTGACTGAAATCGCTGGGAGAGCGATTACACCAGCGGAAAGTAACGAGCAACAATGGAGGGTTTGGGAGACAAGGGAATCTCGAGTGGTTGCAGCAACGCTGGTGTTGTGGTGAGCATGTCAGGGGGAGGAATGTTGGAGCGATGCGCGATTGCAATGTGGCGGGCTGCATATCCCAAAGGTCAGTGGATAGACTTCGCGTGGCCACGCGAGGTGTCAACGCTCGGCACAGTATCGCCACGCTGTCTTGTTACAGCGTTACAAGATGAGGAGCTTAGGACGTGGGCTATTGCCCACCTCGGCATGGAAATTTGTGTTTAGAAGCATTCTGGGTACACCGTGGCGCTCCGAGTTATCTCCAGCCGTCCGGCCAAATGGCCACGGAGCGGTTGCGGCGCGAAGTCAAGGTGCGTTGATATAATGATGCCACGTCTCACCATACGTAGGAACAGAAAGAGGTGGGGCACAAACGATACGCGATATACGAACCTGCTACGATTAGAATTTCGTAATGTGGATGAAACCCGAACTTGCAACATCAATTAGGGTAACAGCAGAATGTGATTTATTGACTTGCAAACAAGCGTAGAAATACTGACCACATCCACCTTGTTATTGACAAGTACGATACTTTGTTTAGATCTGTACTTCCTTCCCACATCATCAGCCTCTGAGTGGAGTTCTTGCGCCACCCCCCCTTTTCAGCCCCTACAGCTCCCCACCCTCCTCCCGACCCCACCACCACCACCTCCCAGCTCCCCATCCCCCTCCTCCCCCTCCCTCGCCACCCCAACCACCTTGCATTCTGCACCCACTCCCACCACCATCCCCAGATTGCCACACTTGCCCCCTCCCTGCTCCCCCCCACCTCCCGCACTCCACGCCCCTCCTCCCCATCCAAGCTTCTCCCACCTCCTCCCCCCCACAGCCCCCCAACCACCCGACCCAGCCTGGGTCCCACCGACCACCCCTCCCCCCTGCCGGTATCGGGGGTGGCGGGGGCAATGCCAAACCACCACCACCACCACCACCAGAAGCTCCTCGGCGCTGGCGTCTCTCTTTTCCCACCACCCCCCGCCCCGCACCCCCATCGCCACCCTCCACCGGATCATTAAAATGCGCCTGGAAATACTTCACCAGTCGGTCCCGGCGTTGGGAACGTGTGCTTCCGGAACCGAAACCCTTCAGGGGAACCGTGATATACTCGTGCACGGGGCGGCCGGAGACAGAAGCAGAGCGGATATAAGTGAGCATGAAGGCGCCAGGGTGGTCATGCGAGAGGGAGAGGTAGTAGGGGATGCGGGCAGGCTCGCGCTCCTTGTCGGTGCGCACTAGAGCGTCCCATGTCGCCTTTGGATCCGAGGCGGAACTTGCGGTATGCCGCCATGTCCCGCATGCGCGCTGCCAAGGGCTCAATGTACCGTGCCATCACCTGGTGGAGAGGGGTGGGGAGCGGTGGAGTGGGGTGAAAAGGGGTGGTGAGGAGCGTCCATGTCGCCTTTGGAGCCGAGGCGGAACTTGCCGCCATGTCCCGCACCAAGCTGCTAGCGGCTCGATGTACCGCGCCATCACCTGGTGCGGAGGGGTGGAGCGAGGGGTTGAGAAGAGTGAGAAGGGGTGAAGAGAGAGGGGACGTATGAGAGGGAGAGGTGGTCAGGCAGGGAGGAGTAAGTGATGAGAAATAGAAACGATGCAAAGATGAGAGAGGGTGCAGCTGAGGAGAGGCAGGGGCATGAACGTCTCTTTACCCCATCCAGCCTCCACCCTTCACCGCGGCTCACCTCATCCAAGTCTTCGTAGCTCTCGTCCCCAATGGTGAGAGTGCGGCCGAGGCGCAGGAAGCTGGTGGCGCTGGTGCGGTCCTTTGCCGCCCTCGTGCACATCCACGTGTGTGAAGGCCCCGCCCGGTAGCTTCATGGTGATGCTGAGATGCGTGGGGCCGCGGCTGCTGGGACGAATCACCACACTGCCCACGTCCTTGTCTGCCAGGACCTGTGGTGGTGGTGTGTGTTGGCATGTGTGAGATTGATACACAAGGGGAGGACCGAGCGCATGAACACCAATTCAGCAGCTTCATGGTGATGCTCAGATGCGTGGGGCCGCAACTGCCGGGCCGAATCACCACACTGCCCAGCAGCACACTGTCCGCCAGACCTGAAGTGTTGACATGAGGAAAATGCACGGGGGAAAAGGCATACAGTGGGGGAAGAACGTGTGCGTGAGGGCAGTGTCCGTCTGGCAGCTTCATGGTGCCTGGCAGGGCTGAGGGTCGGCATTCTGACGAGGCTGGGACCGAACCTGGCCGCTCCCCGGTTGGCTTTGCCAACGAAGGCTGGTTCGGGCTGGGCTGGGATGGATGGGGGTGGGCCCTGGCCCAGGCTGTGCTCTTGAGTCGACTCAAAAGCATGATTAAAACCATGGCGCACCTTCTTAGCGCCTTCCAGCGACACATTGTGGAAGAGCGGGGTAGGTGATCATGCGGGGGCGGAAGGCTGTTTTTGCGCTTCTCCTCCTCCTTGCGCTTCCTCTCCTCCGTTGCCGCCTGCTCCTCCTGCTCCACGGCAGCGCGCTGGTAGTACGGGTCCCACTGCCGCATCTCCCTCCACTCGCTGCTCCTCAGATCGCTGCCCTTGCATGTTAGGATCACCTGCGCTTGTGGTAGGGGGCGGGTGGGAGGTGGAAGATGATGGGAGGTGGTAGTAATGGGAGGTGGGAGATGGGAGACGGGAGGAGTGGAATGGGGAGAGGGACAAATGCAACGCGAGGCTGGGGGGAAGCAGTTGATAAAGAGGCAAGTGGAAGAGAAAACCAAGCAGGGACGCGGCAGTCATGAGAAACCCCCAAGCCCACACACACATTGAACCCTTCCAACTCTCACACACATCCCCCCTCTTTCCTCACCCTTTTTCTTCCCCTCACACACACCTTAGCCTCCTCCGTTTTGACTTCCTTGATGCGGCAGGTCAGCGGCTGCCCCTCGCTCACCACATCCCTCAACTCCACATTCGAATTGTCACTGAAGTCCGGTTGGTCTTTGAGACACAAGAAACAATTGTGCGGCGCCCAGTAAATCCTCCCATCTCACCTTAGCTTCCTCTGTCTTCACTTCCTTGATGCGGCATGTGAGCGGCTGCCCCTCGCTCACCACATCCCTCAGCTCCACATTCGGGTCGTCACTGAAATCCCTCCGGTCCACCTCGCCCAGCACACCGCTCTCCAACGCACACAACACCTTGAACTTCAGCACGCGCTTCACCGTCGCAGTCACCACCTTCCCCACCGCAAGACTCTCCTCCGTCTCCCCACTCAGCAGCCAGAACTGCTCGTCCGCATTCAGCGACTCAAACTGAACCCGGCACTCAGCAAATCCGTGCATGAGCTCGCGGCGAATCAGCAGCAGCTTCTCCTTCAGCCCGCCCTGCCCCTTCCGAGCCAGCATCACCGCGTAGTCCTCGAAATCGAGCCTGCGGATCAGGTCCGGGTTGTCCCGAGCCTCGAGGACCACATCTATGCCGCGCTCCTCCACGCTGTGCGGCGTCATGCCGCGGTGGGCCTCGCAGTAGCCGTCTGTTGCCACTTTGAGCGCCAGACGGTAGTCTGCCGGGTGAATTCGTGAATCATCCAGCATGTCATCTTGCCCTCTCACCCGGATGAATGCTGCTGCGTTGATGAACACGACCTGAGGAAGAGAGGGAAGCAACAGGAATCCAAGGGTGAACCAGTCATGCTGCGGTGTGCCTCGCAGTACCCATCAGTGGCCACCTTGAGCGCCGGGTGGATCCGGGAGTCATCCAACATGTCATCTTGCCCTCTCACTCTAATTAATGCTGCTGCATTGATGAACACAACCTGCGGGGAGGTTTGGGGGGGAGAAACCGGGGCAGAGAGGAGGGTGGGAGGAAGAAAAAATAGAAATGATCTCTGCCTTACTCTCGCACGTCGTCCTGCCCTCTCACTCAAATGAACGCCGCTGCGCTTAAAAACACAACCTGCAGACGAGAGGGGGGCAACAGGGTTCCAAGGCTGAATCAAGTCATGCCTCGGTGTGCCTCGCCGTAGCCATCAGTGGCCACCAGTGGCGCCGAGCGCCAGGCGGTAGTCTGCTGGGTGGATTCGTTTCGTGAATCATCTAGCATGCTGTCCTGGCCTCTCACTCGACTGAGACAACCTGGAACGGAGGGAGAGAACAGGTGTCTAAGGAATGATTAGGGAAATCAGGGCGCACATCGTCTTGCTTTCTGACGCGGATGAATGCAGCAGACCACCTGCGGGAGGGACAGTTGGGGATACGTGACGAGTGAAAAGAGGGGGACAAGCGTGAGAAGGGGACAGCATGCACAGGAAAGGGGTGGGGGACGAGAACAGAGGGAAGGGGCAGTTGGGGGGGCGGCGCACCAAGGCATGGGCAGGAGCACTTACAAGAATATCACAGGGCAAGGGCAGGGCGGGTGACGAACCTGGTCGAGCAGGAAGGGCGGGTCGATGAGGTCCTTGCGGCGCCGCACCACGCCCTCCCCCAGTATGCGCACCTGATGGGGGAGGTAATAAGGGCAAGGGGTGAGGTGAGGAAGAAAGTGCAGGATTTTGGAACCAGATTTCATGGAAGGGCGGACGGCGAAGGGAGGCGCTGTAGCATGCCCCTTCAAAGAGCACCCTTATCGGGTGGTGAGGAAAGTGTGGGGGAGAGTGGTGAAGGGGAGAGAGGCGAGGGGGGGATCAATAAGGAGAAGTACATCGAATCGAGCATGCGAGACAATGGGAGCAAGAGAGGAGTGGAGGAGAGACAAGGGGGAAAGGCCGGCAGGTGCGGTGAGGGAGAGCGAACGGGGCACAAGGCGCATCGGACACGGACGAGGGTGGGAGGCGAAGAGACTCATGACTCACTTTAAGCGTGGAGGCCTTTCTGGGTCCGAGGCCGCACACGAACTGCAGCGGTGCAAAGAGCCAATCCTGCGCCTCCTGTGCCGCATAGTTCACATCCACTCCCACCTGGCAGCACAGTGAGAGGAAGGAACAGGTGAGGGTGCATGGGGGGTGATTTATGCATGACTGTTCAGCAGACTCAACAGTTGCTTGCTTTTTGAGGCGCCTCAAAACTCAACAGTTGCTTGCGCCTGTGCATGTGCGTGTGCACACCCACCTGGCAGCACGTGACTGCGGCGGTCAAAGGGTGAACCTTAGCTGGTAACCTTACTAGCTGGTAACTGCACAGTTCCCACCTGGTTGGTGACGGTAACCATGACGCGTTCAAGCGCGTCGTACACGTCATCAGGCGGCAGCAGGTCCTGAGAGCGGTGGAACTTGGCAGATAGCACCTCCCTCGCCGGCCCAAACAGACACGCCGCCAGCGCCAGCCGGTTCTGCATATAGCGCCCGAGCCCTACCGTGCGCCGCACTATGCCTGAAAAAGGGTGGGGCGTGGGATGGAAAAGGGTGCATGCATGTACTGTCCTCCCGCCAGCGCCAGGCGGCTCTGCATGTAGCGCCCGAGTCCCACCGTGCGCCGCACTATGCCTGCTGGGGGGCCAAGGGGAAAGAGTGGGTGGAAGAGCGGTGTAACTTGGCAGATAGTTATGTTGACATCACTTTTGAGAATTCTCGAAATCACTTTTGAGAATTCTCGAAATCACTTTTGAGAATTCTCGAAATCACTTTTGAGAATTCTCGAAATCACTTTTGAGAATTCTGAAAAATGAGTGGTGGAACTTGGCAGAGACCACCTTGGTGGCCCAAACAGGCAGGCTGCAAGAGCCAACCCATTCTGCATGTAAAGCTCGAGCCCTACTGTGCGCCGCACTATGCCTGGTGGGAGGGGGTGGGTGTTGGGGAGAGCGGGGACATGGTTGGGAAAAGGGTGTATGTATGTATGTACCACCGTGTGTCGCACTATGCCTGGTGGGAATGGGAGGGGTGGGCTGGAGGGGGCTTGCTTGCCTCCCCACTCTTTCTCACACCACTCCATCTAACTCCTTCATCCTCGCCTCATCCCCTTCCTTCCAGGGCTCTCTCGTCTAAAAAGCTTTCCACATTGAGGGAATGCTCACAAGTGTTACGGCGTGACATATGCCTGCCTGAGCTGCACAGGGTGCGAGTGCTTGCCTGGCTGCGAGGGCAGGTGCTCCTGCGAGATGGCGGAATTCTCGTACAGCAGCGCGAGTGTCTCGTCTTGAAACACCACCTGGTGCATGAGGAAGAGAGGGTGCAGGAGGCCAGAGAGGGAGCGAGGAGGCTGTGAGCTTACATGCACAGATGCAAGGCAGCCGTGAGCTGACAGTTTCCAGCACAGATGCAAGGCAGCCGGTCAATGAGTGCAGTGAGGGTGTGGTCGGCCAGCCAGGTGACTTTTGAGTCGACTCAAAAGTCACCTCGGGAGGCCAGAGAGGGAGCGAGGAGGCTGTAAGCTTGCATGCACAGATGCAGGGCAGCCGGTGAATGAGTGTAGTGAGGGTGTGGCCGGCCGGCCAGTGAGGGGTCGTCGGAGAGCGAGAACAAAATGAAGGCGAGGTGGGGGGTGGAGGCAGGCAGTGGGCAGTGGGCAGTGGGCAGTGGGCAGTGGGCAGTGGGCACGACTTGGGCCACAGGAGGCAGAGGAGAGAGAAGGAGGATGCAGGTGCTGCCATGAGCTGACAGTTTTCAGAAGTTGTACAGTTAATCAACCACTTCAACAGGCACGAGCACGGGGGAACACGTCACAGCAGCAAGGAGGCACTTACACGGACGTGAGATCATGCCATTTCAACAGCAGCACTCACACGGACGTTGTCGACATCAGATGTGAGGTCGCGAGGGAAGTGCTCCACGATCTTGAATATCACCTGGTGGGGTGGGCCGGGGCGCGAGGAGGAGGGGCGCAAGGGAGGAGGCATGCAAGTGAAGTGAGCGAGCCGTGAGAGGCAGGGCTGATGTTGTGAGGGCAGTGCTCCACGCTGTGAAAATCACCTGGTGGGCGGGAGGAGGGAGGAAAGGAGGGATGCGATGGGAGGACGAGTGGAGCTGAATGTCTGAGCCAACAGGGAATGCCAGAGGGGAAGGGTTGAGGGAGAAGCAAGCGGCGCAGGAGGGCTAGAAACTAAACAGAGTTACCGTGTCATTGAGAGTAGCAAGCTTTACTGTCTGTCTGTCCTGATCGTTGCACCCACATGCGCACATCCCCCACGCGCGCCCCAACCCCAACCCCCAGCCCAGCAGCCCACGCACCTCCCATCAGTGCATATCCCATTCGGCCCAATCACCACCACACTTGCCTCCCAGATCTCGTCTTTGAGCCTTTCGCAAGTGAGGTAGGCCCCGCCCACAAGTGAGGTAGGCCCCGCCCACAAGTGAGGTAGGCCCCGCCCACAAGTGAGGTTGGCCCCGCCCACAAGTGAGGTTGGCCCCGCCCACCACCACGACATGCGGCTTGTGCTCCTTCACAAACGCCATCAGCCGCCGCTCATCCTCCCACATACATGCCCACATATCCCAGCATGCACATGTTATACAACCCACATTCTTTCACGCACCTCCCAGATCTCATCTTTCAGCCGTTCACACGCAAGGTTAGCCCCGCCCACCACCACGACATGCGGCTTGTGCTCCTTCACAAACGCCATCAGCCGCCGCTCATCCTCCCGCTTCTTCATCACCATCACCTGCTGCTCGCCCCCTCCCCCTCCCCCTCCCCCCCGCCCCCCCCGCTCCACCCATGCCCCCCCCTGCGCCCCCCCCCAGTGCTGCAGCGTCCCCTTTAGGCTGGCCGGTGCGAGCACAGAGGAAGCCGGTATGGAGAAAGTCCACCATCTCCCCTGCGGCGTTCAGCATGGCAAAGGTGGTCGCGGGGTTACCAGGCCCCCAGCAGCACGCCATCACTCGCAGCCACGGCTGCCCCCCTCCCCCGTGCTCCTCCCCTCCCCCATGCCTCCCGCCCCTCCCCCCGCCGCCCCGCATGCCCCCTCCCCCGCCCCCGCCCATCCCTCCGCCCCCACCCCCCCCCGCCCCCTTCGCCCGGACGTCAAAGGGGGCGACGGAGACGTGTTTCCAGAGGGCGAGAGCGCACTGCTCGGCTACGAATGCCTTGGCGCGGCCGGTGAGCAGCAGGCGCGTCTCCTTGTGCATCGTCGGCAGCAAGCGGGCGGCGATCGCCGCCCGGAGAATGGTGCGGCGCTGCTCGTTCCATAGCGAGGCGAAGTGCGAGACGCCGTCTGAGAGGTAGGCTGCTTCAAACTCCTGAGGGAACGGAGGAGAGCCGGGGTGCAGGAAGTGGGCAAATGCGGGTTGGCATGCGATGAGCGAGGCCACGTGGGAGATGCCATCCGAGAGGTAGGCCGCCTCCAACTCCTGCGAGGAGGTGGGCGAGGGGGCAGAGGGCGGAGAAGCAGGAAGGGGGAAGCACCCGTGGGAAAGCGGGGAAATGGGGCAAAAGAAGGGGAATGAGATGAGCGAGGCGAAGTGGGGGTCGTGTGTGCAGCAACACCACCATCAACAGCAACCGCAGAAGCAGCAGCGACACCACCAGCAGGCGAGGAGGCGGCGGTGGGAGGGCGGCAACAGGAGGAGCAGGTGGAAGGGGGGGGGGCGCGGGGGGTGGGCGAGCAGGGGAGCAGCCTAATGGATCTTGGTGCTTCTGACTCCGACAAAAGAGGGGGCATGAGATGAGCGAGGCGAAGTGGGAGGAGCAGTAGGAAAGGCAGGCCGGCTTCAAACTCCTGAAAGTACACACAGGGGAGGGGCGGGGTGGGGGGGATTAGGGATGGAGAAGAAACAAGGAAGTGCGGGTGATGAGGTTGGCATGACAGTGAGACCAATTGATAGACGTCATCGGAGAAATACGCCAGCTAAATGAGCTCAGACCCTATGCTCTGAAACCTAGAGTTTCAACACTGCAAACCAAACCAAGCCAAAAACGCAAATGGATAACATTTGAGTTGAAGGATAGCCATTAGCCCCTGCACCCATCTGCACTCAAATGGATAACATTTTCCTGTACCACAGTGGGAGGCAGCCCCAGCTCCACCTGCACGAGCCCCTGCGATTCAGCCTTGGCGATCAGCAGCCACTGGTCGTCGCGGAACTCGCCCACCGAATGTCCTCCATCCCCCTACCCCTAACCACAAGCCTTGCCCTACACCCAAAATCCGGAACCCTTAGAAAACCGCTTGGATTGGATCGGCTCATACCTTGAACCCTCGAACATTCAAGCCCTAAACCCCCCAACCCTGCACAGCACGGACCTGAATCACATTTTCCTGCACCACAGCGGGCGGCAGGCCCAGCTCCACCTGCACGAGCCCCTGCGCCTCCGCCTTGGCGATGAGCAGCCACTGGTCGTCTCTGAACTCGCCTACCGGCTTGGCTTGTCCACCATCCCCCTCTACCCAGCACGCAAGCCCTGCCCTACACCCCAAATCCCAAACCCTTAAAAAGATCGTTCAGATCGGCTTAAACCCTGAACCCTGGGACAATTAAGCTGTTAACCCCCTGCACAGCACCCACCTGGATCACGTTCTCCTGCACGACAGCCGGCGGCAGGCCCAGCTCCACCTTCACGAGCCCCTGCGACTCCGCCTTGGCGATCAGCAGCCACTGGTCGTCGCGGAACTCGCCCACTGGCTTGTCCTTGAGGCGCTCTATGCCCGCAAAGCGGTGGAACGTGTCTATCACCTGCCATGCACGCACGCGCAGAGGGGGAGGAGGGCAAGAGGAACGCGTTAATCACGTGCAGCCACACGCACACGCACACAGGGGACGTGTGAGGTGTCTGCCTTAAAGGGAACTCGCCCACCGGCTTGTCCTTGAGCCGCTTGATGCCTGCGAAGCGGTGGAACGTGTCGATCACCTGCCATGCGCGCACGCAGCGGAGGAGGGCGGGAGAGAGGGTGCAGGAGAGGCGGAAAGAGTGCAAGAGGTTTACAGCGCATGGAGAACGGCGGGTGGGAAGGATGGGAGTAGGGGTTGAATTGCAAAAGGTTGATCAGGTAACGATGGGCGAGGAGCAAGGCAAGCAGAAGAGGAGGAAGTGCTGCGGGCAGAGTGCAGCAAGGAGATGTCGAACTGAGTACTGGAAGGATTTGATAGACAGGAGAATGATGGACAGAGGAACATGTTGTAATTACATATTTCATACAACATACATAAGCTAGAAGTGTAGCACATTTATAAATTTGGGGGTTGCTTAGTGTACCCTCCAACCACATTTTGTGGTTGGTTGGGATTGGTCCTTAGCTCAACCAATCCCAACCAACACACATTTGTGGTTGCTTGGGTCACAAGCAAGCTCACCCATTGGCCAACTTATTGGCCAATAGGGTAAGCTTCCCTCTCATCTCTCTCTTGCTCATTGTTTGTACTAAAGAGCCTCTTGGCTCATTATTCAATGCATCAATTCTCTCTCTTCTAACATGGTATCATGAGCTAATGGCTCACGCCTACCTCCCTCGGTCCTTAGGCCACCCTCTCCTCCCCGTTCCTCAGATCTAGCCCCACCCACAGAGCTGCCCTCCCTTCACGCGCCCTTTAGACGCTGTCCTCCCTCCCCGTGCGCCCCCTAAGGCGCTGCCCTCCAAGGCACGTCCAGATCTGCAACTCCAGCACCCAGATCTGCACTCCCCGCGCTCAGATCTGCAACTCGAGCGCCCAGATCTGCACTCCCCGCGCTCAGATCTGCAACTCCAGCGCCCAGATCTGCACTCCCTGCGACCAGATCTACTCCTCCCGCGCCTAGATCTGATCATTCCGTGCCCAGATCTGTATTCCGCGCCACCAGATCTCCTCCTCCCGCGCCCAGATCTGAACATTTCGCACCCAGATCTGCACTCCGCGCGCCCAGATCTGCACTCCGCGCGCCCAGATCCGCCCTCCGCGCGCTCAGATCTGCCCTCCGCGCGACCAGATCTGCACTCCGCGCGACCAGATCTGCACTCCGCGCGACCAGATCTGCACTCCGCGCGACCAGATCTGCACTCCGCGCGACCAGATCTGCACTCCGCGCGACCAGATCTGCACTCCGCGCGACCAGATCTGCACTCCGCGCGACCAGATCTGCACTCCGCGCGACCACATCTGCACTTCGCGCGCCCAGATCTGCCCTCCGTCCGCCCAGATCTGCACTCCGCGCGACCAGATCTGCACTCCGCGCGACCAGATCTGCACTCCGCGCGACCAGATCTGCACTCCGCGCGACCAGATCTGCACTCCGCGCGACCAGATCTGCACTCCGCGCGACCAGATCTGCACTCCGCGCGACCAGATCTGCACTCCGCGCGACCAGATCTGCACTCCGCGCGACCAGATCTGCACCCCGCGCGACCAGATCTGCACCCCGCGCGACCAGATCTGCACTCCGCGCGACCAGATCTGCACTCCGCGCAACCAGATCTGCACTCCGCGCGACCAGATCTGCATCTCCCGCGCTGAAATCTGACCATTTCGCGCCCATCTCTGCACGTCCCGCTCGTTTGCCGCGGGCTGTCCCGCGTGCATTCGCCACGGGCTTCCCAGTCGCGCGGATCTGCCGCACGGCTGCCCTCTTCGTCCCCTCCCCCCCCTCTCTCCCTTCCTCCTCCCATTGTACCCGCAGCAGCATCATCAGCGGCACCTCAACGGCACCACCAGCAGCACCCTCCCCCCTTTCCTCCCCCATAGCATCGCCCTCCTCCTCCTCCACCCAACCCACCCTCCGCTCCTCCCTTCCTCCTCCCATCCTACCTGCAGCAGCACCAGCAGCAGCACCAGCAGCGGCACCACCAGCAGCACCCTTCCCCCTTGCCTCCCCCATAGCATCGCCTAAGCATGGGCATTTGACCCGGACGGGTCGGGTAACCCGACCCGACCCGCCCGGGTCGGGTCGGGAAAACCCGGACGGGTCGGGTCGACCCGTGACCCGTCACTGTGATTTAGTGACGGGTTTTTGCGACCCGCCGGGTCGGGTTGACCCGTCCCGTCCGGGTCGCGTACCCAGTCAAATGACAGGGTTACCCGACCCGTTTTCGGATTAGGGTAGGGGTTGAACATCGGTTGGTTTTTTAGGTTTTTTTTCCCTCGACATTCTGATCTAGTCGCTAGACTAGATCAAGGCTAGTACTTCTGCGCTGCAGCTAGGGAGCCTCATACAGTCTTCACTCTTCAATGTTAGCACTATTTAAACTGCATATTATCTTCAGGTTAGGGTTTGGCGCTCCGACCCGACCCTTCTGCTATGTAGCATATTTTGATCCGACCCGACCCGACCCGTGGTGTAACCGACCCGGTAACGGGTCACAAATACCCGTTCCCACGGGGCGGGTCGGGTCACCAAAACAGAGTCAAACCCGACCCGCTAACCCGACCCGACCCGACCCGTTAAGCTAACGGGTCGCCCTCAACGGGACGGGTCGGGCCGGGTCGGGTCAAATGCCCATGCTTAGCATCGCCCTCCTCCTCCACCGTCCTCCTCCTCCCATCCTACCTGCAGCAGCACCAGCAGCAGCACCTGCAGCGGCACCACCAGCAGCACCCTTCCCCCTTGCATCCCCCATAGCATCGCCCTCCTCCTCCTCCACCTTCCCCACCCTCCGCTCCTCCCTTCCTCCTCCCATCCTACCCGCAGCAGCAGCATCCGCAGCGGCACCAGCTGCAGAACCAGCAGCGGCACGGGCAGCAGGGCCAGCAGCAGCATTGGCAACGGTGCCCTCGCACCATCCTCCTCCTGCCCTAGCCTCTACCCACCCTCATCTCTATGGCATCGTCGTCCGATTCTTCCGTCGACCTTGCCACTGTTGACGCACTCGAGTTGCTGCCTGACAACTCTGCTGCTAATTGGCACTCTTACGCTCATTCCGTTGAGGTGCTCCTCTCCTCTGTTGTGGTCAGCGGCTACAACCTTCGCTCGGTTGTTTTTTCAGGAAGGCGGTGGACTTCAGCCCGTGGCCCCCACCGCTCCTACTGGACCTGCCCCCGCCCACCCTGGCGCCGAGCCCTCTCCCCCCGGTGATCCTCCCACCTTCGCGCCGAATGTCAACGACCCGCAGAGCTCGGAAACCGCCATTCGCACCTACCGCACCAATCTCCAAGAGCACCTGCGCCTGCAATTGCGTTATGAGGACGACAGGCGCATCTATGACGAGGCCGCTGCCCGCTACAACAAGTACCAGGAGGACCTGGACACCTACACTGCAGAACTTGCAGACTACACCACGAAAATTACTGCCTGGCGGGTTGCTGATTGGCGTGCGCTTGCCATTCTTCTCGCCACCATCCCCTCCTCCCTCAAACGCGAGCTCTCACCTACCTCCTCCTCCCACCTGTGGCGACTGCTGGTCGACCTTTTCGATCGGCAGGACGTTGCCACTCTTTACGCCCTTATCAAGGAGTTTGGAACTCTCTCCATGGATTCCACTTCTGGCGCAGCTGCTTTCACTCGCCGTGTCTTAGACCTTGCTCGGCGCCTTGCAACACTCGATGTGGTGTACCCGGACACCGTCATCTGCTGCCACCTCCTCGAGGGCCTCACACCTGCCTTCGACGCTCACAAGCTTGCTTACATGCAGCTTATCTCCAAGCACCACACCCCTGCCGAAGTCGCTCAGTGGATTATCACCACCGAAGCTGAGATCCTTCGCCACTCTTCCTCCACAGCCGCAGCAGCCCAGTCGCGCAGCACCCGGGGTGGACGTGGCGGTGGGCGTGGGGGTGGGCATGGTGGTGGGCGTGGGGGTGGACGAGGGGGATCGGCAGGTCGCGGTGGTGCTGGCAGCAGTGGTGCGGGTCGTGGTACGGCAGCTGCATTTCCTCCCTGTCAGTACCTGCCTCGCTACGGTCCCACTCAGGGACAGCGCTGCGGCCAAACCACCCATGCCACTGAGACGTGCTTCAAGGCACTCAGTGATGAGTGGTTTGCCCGTGGCAACACCGGCACCCCTCCTCGCTGGTTCGCCCTCAACCCTCGCCCCACTCCCCTTGAGGTCCGCTCCTCTCCCCTTTATGAACCTCCCTCCTCCACCCACGCCCACCAGGCCCTCGCCCCTCCCCAGCAGCAGCACCAGCAGCAGCAACAGCAGCAGCAGCTTGGGAATCAGCAGCAGGGGTCACAGCAGTATGGGCAGCAGCTTCTCCTCTCTCAGCTCCAGCAGCAGCTCCAACATCTCCAGCAGCAGCTCGACCTCCAGCCGCAACTGCCCCTCCTCCCTCCTCCTCCGGTTTCCCAGCAGCAGCCCTTTCCTACCTGGACTGCTAAGAGTGCTGCCTCTGCAGCCCATCTCTCGGGTGCGTCCCCGGCGCCGTCTGCAGGTGGCAGTGTGACCGCTTTCCCTTCCTCTGGTTTTGTTGGTTTATTAGGTCAACCTGAATCTGTTGCATCTTCCATGTACCCTTCTTCTGCTAATGAAACTTCGATCCAGTACTCTGCCTCACCTTCCTCCACCATTGACTTCGTTCTGGACAGTGGAGCCACTGACACTGTCCTTCGCGACGCTGGTACACTGCACCCTCTCCCCACACCAACCTCCCTCCTCGGCGCTGATAGCAGTTTTTCCATCCCTTGTCACAACACCTCCACCCTTCCCTGTCCTCTCTTTCCCTCAGGTACTGTCACCGGTCTCCACATTCCCTCCCTTCGTACTAACCTCCTCTCCCAAAGGTCCCTCCAACAAGCCATGATCACCACTCTCATCCCAGGTGGTGCTAACCATTGTGACCTATACCAAACCTCCACAGGTCGTTTTCTCGCCCGTATTCCCTATTGTCCTCGCTCCCGTCTGTACACCCTTCGGATTCCCCGCCCCCTCACCTTCCAAGTTGCCTCCCCCCCCCCTTCCTTCCCCCCCCCCCCTCCCCTCCCTCCCACTAACCCACCCCTCCCCCCCCCGCCCTCCTGACTCTGACTGTTCCTGTCGTTCCCTCTCCCACCCCACCATCCTCCTCCATCACAGGCTAGGCCACCCCAACTTCGCTACTCTGCGCTCCTCTGTCTCCTCCGGTCTCCTCCACGGTCTCCCCTCCTCCCTCCCTTCCCTCCCCAAATCCCCTGCCCCCCCCCTGCACCGTCTGCGTTCAGAGCAAGCTCAAGCAGCAGCCGCACCGGAGCTCCCCCTCCGCTGCTGCGCAGCCACTTGATCTTGTTCACATGGACCTATGGGGCCCTAATCCCTCTCCCACTCGACAGGGCCATCGCTACCTTCTCGTGCTTGTTGATGATCACAGTCGGTACTCGTCCGTCTCTCTCCTTCGGACGAAGGCGGATGCCCCGGCTGCGATCATCGCCTGGCTCGAGCGGGCAAACACCCATTTTGGGCGCCCTGTTCGCCGCCTTCACCCTGATGGAGGTGGTGAGTTCCTTAACAACCAAGTCTCCTCCTATTGTCAGTCTCGTGGCATCCTTCAGACTTACACCCTCCCTCACTCCCCACAGCAGAACGGCGTGGCTGAGAGTCGTGTTCGAGAGATCACCGAAACAGCCCGGTGTCTGCTTGTCCACGCCTCCTGCCCCCCTTCTCTTTGGGGCTACGCCCTCCTTCATGCCGCCCTCCTTACTAACCTTTACCCTCACCCCCTTCTCCCCTCCATCACCCCCAGTGAGCTGTGGACGAAGGACAAGCCTGATGCCTCATCACTTCGTGTCTGGGGCTCTAAGGCACATGTCCTCATTCACCCCTCTGACCGCTCCCGTTCCATGGGAAAGCTTGCCCCTCGTACCCTTCCTTGCATCTTCCTTGGTCATAATCCCTCCTCCCCCGACTACCTTTTCCTCCACCCACCATCCGGTTGTCTAATCCGCAGCCGGGATGTGGTCTTTGACGAGTCCACTCCCTACTACTCCTCTCCCACATCTACTGACCCACTCCCCCCCTCTCACCCGTCCCCTTGTCTGGTCTGACACCACCCCTCCCCCACTACTCCCTCCTCCCCCCATCCTCCCACCCCCCCCTTCTCCGCCGTCCCAGTCCCATGGTGCCCCTCCCTCTTCTGGTGACATCTTTGACCCGGAACCTCTGTCTTCTCCTGTCTCCCCCGCTCACTCCTCTCCTAGTACCCCTCCCCCCCCCCCCCTTCCTCTCCCTCGCCACCAATCCGTCCTCCCCCTTCCCGCACCATACTCACCCGGTAACCCCACACCAGGTCACGTGACGGTATCCTTGGTGCACCGCCTCCCGTTACCCTCTCTACCTCTACCCTCCCCCCTCTCTCCCCCCTCCTTCGTCACTTCTTCCAGGCTGTCTTGCATCAAGCCCCTCATGCAACAGCCCCCTCAGCCACCTCCTCTCCAGCAGCGGCACCAGCAGCGGGACCAGCAGCGGCAGCAGCAGCGCCAGCAACCGCAGCAGCAGCAGGACCAGCAGCGGCAGCAGCAGCGGGAGCGGCATCGGCAATAGCAGCGGGACCAGCAGCGGCACCAGCAGCGGCACCAGCAGCAGCACCAGCAACAGTACCAGCAGCGGCACCAGCAACGGCACCAGCAGCGGCACCAGCAGCGGCACCAGCAGCGGCACCAGCAGCAGTACCAGCAGCGGCACCGGCAACGCCTCCACCAGCAGCACCAGCAGCGGCACCAGTAGTCATCCGCGCCTTCCACACCTCCCTCTCTGAGGACTCCCATGAAGAGTTCCTTGACCTCCACCTTTTTGACCCCTCGCTTCTACCCATCACGTTCGACCTCTCTGGCACACCTGTCTTCGCCTTCTCCTCTGCTCCCTCCATTTTCGTTCCTACCACGTACGAGGAGAAAATGGCGTGCCCTGACGCTCCGCTATGGCTCGCCGCCATCATCAAGGAGCTGGAGGCCTTTATCGGCAACTCCTCTTTTGTCGATGTGCCTCGCCCTCCCGCCCCTACGAACGTGGTGAAAGGAAAGTGGGTGTTTCGCGTCAAGCAGCTGCCAGGGGAGCCGCCCGTTTATAAGGCTCGTTACTGCGCCAAGGGGTTCACGCAGCGGTATGGTTTTGACTTCTTCGATACCTTCTCCCCTACTGCCAAGCCTGCTACTGTTCGCGCCGTGCTCGACCTCACCGCTCGCCTCAATATGGAGATCCACTCGATGGACGTTTCTAACGCCTTCCTACAAGGCATCCTCCGCGAGCTTATCTACATGGAGCGTCCAGCCGGCTTTCACCTCCCCTTCCCAGCAGACTCTGTCTGGCAGCTGCGTCGACCGGTGTATGGGCTCCGACAGGCCCCAAGGGAGTGGCGTGCTAAACTTGCCGCCACCCTTGCTGAACTTGGGTTCTGCACCTCCCGCTCTGACGCCAGCCTCTTCCTCCGCACCTCCCCCTCCCCATTTTACATCCTTGTGTATGTCGATGACATGATTCCGCTCACTGCAGACCTTGGAGAGTTGGAGCATGTTAAGGCTGAGTTGGGCACCCGTCTCAAGTGCAAAGACTTGGGAGAGCTTCAGCATTATCTGGGTGTGACCATCACCCGTGACCGCTCTGCCCGCACCATTTCACTCTCCCAGGGTCATTACTTGCAGCAGGTCTTGGAGCGGTTTGACATGGCCCGTGGCGGCGCCCAACATACACCTCTTTCAGTCGGGCACCACCTCTCTCCACCCACCTCCCCCTCAGCCTCCTCCCATCCTTATCCCGAGCTCATCGGCTCCCTCATGTACGCCATGGTCTCCACTCGCCCTAACCTTGCCTACCCCAGCAGCGTCCTCGCTCGTTTTGTTGGCGCAGGCAAGCATACGGAAGAGCACTGGCAGGCCGCCAAGCGTGTCCTCCGGTACCTTCGTGGCACCAAGGACTATGTCCTTACCCTTGGCGGCCCCTCCCCACCTCTTCTCAGCGGCTACAGTGACTCCTCTTGGGCTGATTCCCGGCCAGATCGTCGCTCCTCCCAGGGCTATGGCTTCTCTCTTGGCAGCGGCCTTATCAGCTGGCGCTCCACCCGCTCCTCGGCTGCAGCCCTCTCCTCCTGCGAGGCAGAATTGTATGCCGCCACCATGGCTGCGCAAGAGGCCCGCTGGCTCACCTTCCTTCTTGAGGAACTTGGTGCCCCCTAGCGCTGTCCCACAATTTGGTGTGACAATGCTAGTACCATTCACCTCACCAAAGATGCTGTGTTTCACGGGCGCTCCAAGCACATTGAGCTCCGTCATTTCTTCATTCGCGATCTTGTTCAGGCGGGGCGCCTTCGCCTCGACAAGGTTGACTCGGCGGCCAACCTTGCCGACATCTTCACAAAAGCTCTTCCTCATGCCGCTCACTCTTTCCTATTTCGTCTTCTTGGCCTCACTCCTCCTAAGTCGCCTCCCGCCTCTTGATTCTAGCCTTATAGCCTTATGCATGTTGGGGGGTTGTGTTGTAATTTTATATTTCATACAACATACATAGGCTAGAAGTGTAGCACATTTATAAATTGGGGGGTTGCTTAGTGTACCCTCCAACCACATTTTGTGGTTGGTTGGGATTGGTCCTTAGCTCAACCAATCCCAACCAACACACATTTGTGGTTGCTTTGGTCACAAGCAAGCTCACCCATTGGCCAACTTATTGGCCAATAGGGTAAGCTTCCCTCTCATCTCTCTCTTGCTCATTGTTTGTACTAAAGAGCCTCTTGGCTCATTATTCAATGTATCAATTCTCTCTCTTCTAACAGAACAGATGGACAAGGAAAGAGAGGGACGATTAGACTGACACAAGGGGACTGAGGGCAGGGCACGAGGGGGAAATGGGCACCGGGTAAATGTGGGAGTCAGCAACATTGCCCGAACTGCACAGATAATGGGTATTCTATTCAGGAATAGCTTCGAGGATACCATCAAGACATGCGTTACCCCAGGTCCTGGGGCCGATAATTGAGTAGTTAGCTCAAGGGATCCAGAGAGGTGCTTGGTTTCCAGAAATCCACAGAGGGGCGTTACCCGGCCGCCAAGGCATTACCTGGCGGTCATAAACCCAGGGAGGGGCGTTACCTGGCGGCCGCGCGGGGTGGGGTTGGTGGAGACGATGGCGCGCTTGTTGAAGATCTCCCTCACGTGCTCGCGCACCTTGGGCTCTATGCTTATCTCCACCTCCGCCTGCCATTGGCACACACGCAACAAGGGAGGCACACACGCAACAAGGGAGGCACACACACACAGCATTCGGGTCACTGTATAACATCATCACACCATCCCCCTCACGTGCTCCCGCACCTTGGGCTCCATGCTTATCTCCACCTCCGCCTGCCATGCGCACGCAAACATTGGAGTCACTTTTGAGCATCATCTCACCATCTCCCTCAGGTGCTCGAGCACCCTGGCCTGGCCTGGCCTGGCTGGCTCGATGCTTATCTCCACCTCCGCACACTCCCACTGTCCCACATCGTGTCAGCCAAGCACGGATGTACAAGCTGTGTGACACACATCACAGATTCACAGCCACACAAGGGGTGACCACAAACCACAGCGTAGAATGTAAAGCAAAACACCCTCCATTCCACCTTCCACACTGCAGGATCAACGATGGCTGAACATGCACTCCGCCGTCGTGTACCACAAGGGCAACAGGATGCATGCGGCCTGGCAGCAATATACAGCATGCGGCCTGGCAGCAATATACAGCATGCAAGAGCGTGAGGATACCCTTTGCTTCCTGCGCTTCAAATCCTGCAACCTTTTGCAAAGTGTACGAGGCAAGGTCACCAGAAGACCAGCCAACCCGCACGCACCATGTGGCGGGCGCCTCTGAGCACGAGAGCAGGCGAGGGGAATTCAGCACAGATGTACTCCGTTGCCACCTCCTCCGGTGATAGCGCCGTGTCCTCCACCTCGTGTTGCTGCCATTACACATGCACACACACACGCATATACAGCCACATAGACACGCACACATGCACACGACGGGTATTGGATGTGGAGTGGTGAGAGAAGGAGGTGGGGAGGCGGGTTGAAGAAACCTGACTGTGCCGGCCCATGAGGCCGTCAGGAGGCGGCAATCTGAGGAGAGGATCCCAATACCCCTCACACCTCTCACACCCCACCCATCCCACCATCCTCCCACGCACCTTGTACATGGAGATGAGATTCTCGCCCAGTTGGAACGCCGACAGCCCAATGCGCTTCACCACACCCTTCAACCCAGCCCGCCGGCACACCGAGTACATGGACCGCTTCCGAGGCCGCCTCTGCTGCACCCCTGCCCCTCCCCGCCCGCCCTCCTCCGCCACAGCCTCCTCCGGCGGAAACTGCAGGTTGAACTTGGCGTCCACGTCCTCTACGGCGGGCTCCGAGAGCGCACAGTCGAGCGCGTGGAGCACCCCTTGCATGGCGAGCTGCCGCTCTGCTTCTTCATCCTCGTCCACTCGCGGCCGCTCGTAGGCGGATCGCAGTGAGCGCTTGCGGCGCTGCAGGAGCAGCCAGCGGCGATCCCACTGCTGGATGGCCCACAGAGCCTGGTTGGGAAGAATGTAAACGGAGAGTGGGCGCAGGGAGGGGATAGCGAGGGAGGGTAAGAAATGGGGGTGTTTACGCATGCAGCCCCAGCCCACGGCTATCCCATTGCTGGATGATTTACAGGGCCTGCGTTGGAGGAGGGAGAAAGGGGGGTGGTGGTGGAGGGGTCGGTTGTGTGGGGAGAAAAAGGGAGGGGCCAATGGGGAAGAAGGAAGGAAGGAAGGAAGGAAGGAAGGAAGGAAGGAAGGAAGGAAGGAAGGAAGGAAGGAAGGAAGGAAGGAAGGAAGGAAGGAAGGAAGGAAGGAAGGAGGGAGGAGGCTGATAGGGAGGGTGGAATGGGGGGTTTGTGGATGCGAAGGAATAGAGAGGTAGGGAGGGAGATCGAGCGAGCATGCAAAGGGAGGAGTCCTGAAGAAGTGCAATGCAGGTGGGCGGCCTGCTACTCCAGTCCAGATCATATGCAGGTGGGCCTGCTACTCCAGATCACATGTTACAGAACAGACTAACATGCAGATATCCTGCAAGTGCAATCCAGGGGTCAGGTCAGTACCTGGAAGGGCTGCAGCTGCGGCTCCCCGTCAAGCTTGTCTTGCTCCACGAGGGGGGGGCAGTGCAGTGCAGTGCAGGTGGGGCTGCATGCCCAGGTTATAGATGTCAAAACTACCTAAATACCCGGCAAATCCAAGGGACCACACCTGGAAGGGCTGCAGCTGCGGCTCCCCGTCGAGCTTGTCTTGCTCCACGAGAGCCGGGCAGATGGCCTTCTTGTGTATCGCTATGTACGGCACCTGGTGGGAGGGGAGGGGAGGGGGCATGAGAGGAAGGATGTGGCACATGAGATTTCAAGTCGACTCAGCAAGTCTCCACGAGAGCCGGGCACATGGCCTTCTTGTGCATCGCTATTTACGGCACCTGGTGGGAGGGAGGCATAGGGAGGGTGGGAGTATGGGAGGAGGGCCAGAAAGGGAGGGGAGGGCCAGGAGGGAGGGGCATGAGGGGAGAGCCAAGGATCCATGGGTGCACTAAAAGCGAGTACAGATGGGATGCGAAGAAGGGGGAAGCAAAGGAGTGGAGGAGCGGATTGGGGAAACGGGAAACCAGGATGGACAACAACAGTACAGACTGATGCGTCGAATGAGTCGCATCACTTGAGCCGATGCAATGCAGCCTCACGAAGTCCGTCACATCCGGACCAGAGCCACTCAGCACAGTGACACTGCACCTCGCATTCGCCCACCCTGCCCCCTCCCCACACAGCACCTCGCACCCATCCACTCTCTTCCCTCCCCTCTCCTCCCCCCTCCACCGCACCTCCACTTTTGCATCGTGCAGCTCTTCAAGCACAGCCGCGATCTGCTCGATGGCACCGTCCCGCGCCGCCACGGCCTCTCTCCGGCATTTCTCCACGTCCTCCCGTGCGCACGTGGCGGCGCGCCTCTCAGCGTCAGCGACGTACGAGAACTCCCCCCGCCGCAGGTGGTCGGGGGCTAAGGAGCCAAACACGCGCTCGTAGATCCACTCGGCCTCGGGTAGATGGTCCTCGTTCTCAGGGATTACACCCACCACCTCCTCCAACAGCTGGGGCAGGTGAAGTGGACAAGGGGAGTTGGAGAAGGAGGGGGAGCGGGGAGAGGGGGAAGGGGAGAGAGGGGGAGGAGGGGGAGTGTGGGGGAGCGGGAGACGGGGGGGGAAGGAAGCAGAAGGGGGGAGGGAGGAGAAGGGGAGGTGCAGCAATGAGAGAGGGGAACTGATGGGTGCGTGGCAGGTGGCCGGGGTAGATGGTCCCCAGACGGGCCAGGGCGCCAGACGGGTAGATCCACTCGGCCTCGGGTAGATGGTCCTCGCTCTCTGGGATCAGCTTCGGGGTAGGTGAGGTGGGCAGGGGGAGTTAAGGGGTGGGGGAGGGGGAGATGCGGTGATGAGCGAGCGAGCACAACGGATGCTGTGCAAGAGGGGGGAGTGCAGTGCAAGTGGAGTGGAGGGGGGTGGGGGAGGAGAAAAGGGGGGGTGCGGCGGGGGGGTGGAGGAGCCCCTGCCATGCCCGACACCAGAGGAAGAGGAAGAGGAGGAAGAGGAGCCCATGCCATGCCCTGCCATGCCCTGCCATGCCCTGCCATGCCCGATACCAGCTCTCAATTCTCCACAGAGGAAGAGAACTACATGCCGTGCAAGAGGCGCGACTACGTTTGCCAAAAGGAAAGCCGGAAGGGGGGAGAGGCAGGGTGGGGGGGAAAGGGGAAGGGGGAGAGGGAGTCAAGGGTAAGAGCCCAGGCCCCAGCCCCCATAACTCAATCTCAACTCTCACGTCCCCCCACCCACCTGCAGCCTCTCAGGAACGTCTCTGGCTCGAATGGGTTCATCCCGCCCGCTCAGTCATATACTTGGCCTCCAACAAGCTCGGCTCATACTGCCTTGCTTCAACAGCACCATCACTCACCCTCACTTCCAAGCACCCACCTGCAGCCTCTCAGGAACGTCCCTCGCCCACCCACCTGCAGCCTCTCGGGCACATCTCGGGCTTGAATGGCCTCATCCCGATCCGTCATATACTTGGCCTCCAGCAGGCTCGGCTCATACTGCTCGACACCACCCTCACTCCCTCACTCACCTTCACTCCTCACCACCCACCTGCAGCCTCTCAGGAACATCTCGGGCTCGAATGGCCTCATCCCGCTCCGTCATGTATTTAGCTTCCAGCAGGCTCGGCTCATACTGCTTCGACAGCGCCGACGCCCCGCCCGCGCCCTCCCGCCCATACTCCTCCCCACCCTCCGCCCCCATCCCATCCTCATAATAGTACCCCCCCGCGCCCCCCTCCCCTCCCTCCCTCCTCTGCCTCTCCAGCTCCACGCGCCGCCGCTCCAGCAGATCCGCCACGTCACCGAAAATATCCTGCGCCTCGAGAAGCGCCTCAGAGGTGACACCTGGCATGCGCGTGCCCTTTTTCTTCTTCTTGCGGCGGCGCCGGCCGTGCTCGTCCGTGTCGTCTACACCCCCTTCCACGATGAAGTCTGCCATCTCGTCCTCTTCCTCCTCGTCCTCCTCCCCGTCCTCCTCCTCCAACTCCTCCTCCTCGCCCCTGCCTTCCCTCTCCTGGAAATCTTCAGGCACGTCTGGGGAGACAAGGAGAACAGGAGGAAATGGAGGAGCGACCGAGGGGTGGAGCGAGAGAAAAGAGATGGGATGGGGGGTGGGGGGGGGGGGGGGGGAGAAGGGGGAGGAGGTGGGAAGGATAGTGGGGAGGAGGAAGAAGAGGCAAAGATGAGGAGTGAACAGGAATTTATAGTGGGAAACAGCAGCGTGGAGATTTTTTTTTTTTTTTTTTTTTTTTTTGAGGCGCCTCAACAGGGGGAAGAGGCAAAAATGAGGAGTGCACGGTATTCATAGTGAAAAAAACAGCAGGAAGGGGAGGGATTGTAGGGAGCCAAAAGACAGGGATGGGGACGTGAGGAGTCAAGAGAGCTAACGCTCTTCAAACTGTGACGGCACTTGCTACTCAAAACACATGCTGCTTACCCCCCTCACCCCCCAACCCTTCACAACCTCATCCCAGAACAAAGAGTCACTCTCATCCCAGAAACCTCTCACCCTGATTGTCCATATCCCTCTCAGCCTGATTGCCCATATCCCTCTCACCCTCATTGTCCATATCCCTCTCACCCTCATTGTCCATATCCCTCTCACCCTCATTGTCCATATCCCTCTCACCCTCGTCCCCAAAAATCTCCCTCTCCACGCATTGCTGGGGGCGCATACCGCCCTCCTCGTCCTCCTCATCGTCCATCAGCAACCCCTCATTCACATCATATGCAAGACACATACCTACCCACCCCCATCCCTGGACGTTCCCCTCACTCACCCTCATCGCCAAAGATCTCCCTTTCCACGCGCTGCTGCGCGCGCATGCCGCCCTCCTCGTCCTCCTCATCGTCCATCAGCAACCCGTCCTCGTCCCCCCCCATGTGCCTCGCCTTTTTCAGCCGCCGAAACTTCTTATCCTTCTGCCAAAGCGCACACCACATAACATAACATACCAGCCACGTAAGGCAAACACAGGCCAAGACAAGGCACAGGGCAGTCACACGCCAAAGGACATGGGGACGGATAAAAGACCAAATGAGCAAGGGAAAGCAGCCCCCCTCCTCCTCGCACCCCCTCCCCTTCCCATGTGTCGCGAGGCCGTGCGTGCCTTCATCATCAGCCTCCACACCTTCTTGCCCTTCCGCCCCCATGGGAAGGGAAAGCAGAACTTGTTGCCCGATCACGACAGTCACAGATCAAAGGCATGTGTGTGCTGTGCAGTGTGCATGCATGGGGAGGAGACAAGCCAGATAAGCGGGGAAAAACAGCACTGTTCCTGACGTGACGTGACACCCATGAGCTCCGCCGTCATCTGAAGCAGCTGTTGACATTACACACATACACGGCCACACACACACACTAATGACGCGAGGCGAGGCTCAGATTGTCACTGCAGCTACCCTATAAGATGCCGTTTCACAGCAGGACAAACAACATATGGCCGCGGTTTCTTAAGCTTGCCCCAATGGACGCACCTTGGCGGGGCGATGAAAGCCCCCCACACCGCTCTCCTGCAGCAGCGCATAGTCGTCCTCATCCAACTCGTCCTCCTCCTCCTCCCTGCGACACAGCACACGCATGGGGATTGGGTGATGCCGAATGGGAGGGAGGTTGAGCTTTGAGGCGCCTCAAAGCACACCGCTCTCCTGCAGCAGCGCATAGTGGTCCTCGTCCAACTCGTCCTCCTCCTCCTCCCTGCTCGCCGGGCCATGGAACATGGGGGTATTGGGGGATGGCGGATGGGGAGCGGGCATGGGGATAGGGGGAGGGGGCAAGGGGCATGGGATGGGAGGGGAGAGAGGCCAGGCCAGAGTGGGCGGACGTGGCAAGGAGACCAGCAGCACCACACTCAACCGCAGAGCACCTTGTGCTGGCACCCCTTGTATTGTATCCCCCTCCTCACCTTTTCCGGCGCTTCTTCTTCTTCTTCTCCCTGCGCTCCTCGTCACTCCCCGGCCCCTCCTCGCCCCCCCCTTCCTCCTCCTCGCCTTCACCGCCCTCCTCCTCCTCCTCATCACCGTCCACCATCCATCCATCCTTCTCATACTCGTCCTGCCCCTCTTCTGCTCCCCTCACCCGAAAACAAGACGCAGACACACGCACGGCGATTACGAAAGAGTCACAACGAGCGATAAGAAAAGAAGGACTCGCGCACACGCGATCAGAGGGACTGGCAGGGCAGCAGGCAACATGGCTGCCAGTCGGCGCGATCAGAGGGAATGGCAGGCAACATGGCTGCCAGTCGGCGCGATCAGAGGGAATGGCAGGCAACATGGCTGCCAATCCGCGCAGCCGACGCACCACCCCGCTGATAGCCAATCACGCTGGGCCTCCTCACCACCCCTATGTTGCCGTGCTTTAAATTCGCCCAATCGAATACAAGTCACTACTCTAGATAGCCCAACCAAATATTAATATCTTTTGGCCTACCTCCCTCCTCCCCTCTTTTATCATTCCTCTCTCCCTCCTTCCCTTCCCTCGCCCCATGTCCGCGCCCTAACTTCCTCCTCTCGCCATCCTCCCGATTCTCGACCAACCTTCCTCCGCGCGCGTCACCTACTTTCGCGCTCTACCCTCCTCTGCGCGCCAACCTTCCTCCGCGCGCCTACCCTCCTCTGCGCAACTACCTTCCTCCGCGCGCCTACCTTCCTTCGCCCGCCTACCTTCCTCCGCGCAACCCTACCTTCCTCTTCATCGTCGTCCTCCCCGTTCACATCGTCGCCCTCCTCTTCCTCCTCCTCCTCCTCGCGCTCCACCTCATCTGCCGGGGCCCCATCGAGACGAGACAGGGACAGGCGAGAAATGAGGAAAAAAACGAGGAGAGCGATGAAAGAGAGGCGTGTGAAAGAAACTGAGCGCATAGAGCTGGAGGGGGAGGGGATGGAGGGAGAGACGAGGGGATGGGGGGAGGAACGAGGGGATGGAGGCCGAGGGGGAGTCGGGGAAAGGCAACCGTCATTCATTCCGGGCCGAGAAAGCATGTCCTCAACTACGCCGGTGTTGGGAAACGATAAAATGCCCTATGAGTGTCTGAACGAGGCTAGAAATAGGCTGATTTCAGAGCGGCGAAAGGGATACTTAATTCATTCCGGGCCGGAAAAGCATTTCGTCTGCTAAGCGGAAATTGGCCGAACTCGACTGCAGCATCTAGACATTCCAGGAACGCCGCGACCGACGTACGGACTCTAAGCGTGCAACTCCGATATTAAGAACACTCTGAGTGCTTAGAAACATAAGTAATTGACTTAATCCGTGAACATCCGATCCCGAAGCTTGGGAGATTAGGCCTCACGTTGAGACTGCGTACCTGGATCGAAGCCCATGATCGGACGGTTGACAGCACACGCAAATCAGGCAGGAGGAAACGTCCGATCCGCTAAAGCTCTCCCTTAGTCTACCTTCGACTGAGAGCTGGGATAGGAGCTAAGATAGTGTGAATGAGAATGGCAGTGCGAGCATGGACATGGATGGCAGCAACAAGAACGGTGAGGTGAGGATGTGGTTGCTTGTCGGTACCGTACATATGCGAGTTTGTAACAGTTCGCATACAAGATGCGTCAGGGAATGACCTGCATCGCAAACGGGTGGAAGGCTTTCCCAAGACTCGCTTGAATGCGGCTCAATAAGGTGCTTTACATTCGACCTTGTACGAATGAGACCTGTCAGGCAGGGTAAAAAATATTGTTGGGAGTTGGATATCATGCCCACCAACATCCAGAAGCATATCACTGCTAAGCCACTGGGAACCGCCATCTGACTCCATCCCTGTTGATCGTCTGCAACAGACTAGTTTATTTGGCGTTTGTTTGCAGAACCTTGTGTTTCCTCCATTTGACAAGTAAGCATGTAGCCGTCATTGCAGAAGAAATTCCAGAGTACAATTAGAAAGAGGTGTTGCAATGCACAGCACCAGGGCCTCAGATTGGTTGTGGGCTAGGCTGAAAAAACAGAGTTGGTACAAAGAATTATGCTGAAAATCAGGCAGATCAGCCATTTTATGCCATTATACACTAAATTCATGTTTCATTCCAAAAAAGTGCTGGAAATTCAGCCTCGATTATAAAAAAAGGACTGAAATCTCAGCCTTTTTTACCTAAATCGGCCTTATTTCGCTGACTTCTGAGGCCCTGCACAGCACACAAAGGCTCTACACATGAGCAGACACCATGTGCACCAGCATGCCAGTGTGCTAATTGAGTCCACCACACCACAGCAATATGGTTTCATAGCAAACCCCCTCAATGATGGCCAATTATTGAGGCTTAGAGGCGTACTCGAAGCATTGAGTTATTCTTATATATGCTACGAGGCTCTACATAGCCATCACGATCCAGCAACTGCCTGCACCCCTTAACACCCAGATACTGCAGCATCTTCAACTCAGCCATATCCCAAGGTAGCTCCCTCAACCGCCAACACCCGTCCAAGATAAGCCGCCTCAGTCCAGCCAGCCGCACAAAGTGGGGAGGAAGCGAGGTGATGAGGGAGGACGAGAGATTCAGCTCATTCAGGCACACAAGGCAGGTGAGAGAAGCAGGGAGCCGTTTCAACCCCTTGAAGTCTGATAGACTCAGCTTGCGCAGCGTGGTCAAGGCGCCAATGCCCTCCGGAATGTGAGTGAGCATGCACTCATGAACCTCCAACAACGTCAGCTGCTAAAGCCGCGTGATGCTCTCTGGCAGCTCAGACAACTCCTGAGCATCGTGTATCAGCAGCACCCTCAGCTGGTGTAAGTTCGAGCCGATACTCTCTGAAAGACTGGAAATCTTGGCAGCATGATAGATCGCCAAGGTGCGCAGCTGGGGAAGGCATGTCAGCGGGAATGGAGGCTCGGTTGCAGAGTTTTCTAACACCAGCTCCAAATCCCTCAGAAGCGGCAGGCTCTTGCTGAAATCCAGTGCTTGGTCGATATGAACCCGAGACAGCTTCAGGTTTCTCAGATTTGGCAGCATTGGGGTTGTCAGCAGAGGGGCAGTGTCGTCCCTGCTCGCTAGACTCAGCTGCTCAAGAAACGACGGCAGAAATTGGACGGATTCAGGCTGCAACAGGCATTCGACAATCTCCAGGTGTTTGAGCCTCGTGAGTCGGTCCAGACGCATCGGAGGCCAGGAGAGCCATCGACACGAACGAACGGTCAGGGTTTGGAGACACTTCAGGGCTGAAAGTGATGCGGGCAGGTCGCGTAACCGATTGCATGAGGCAATGTGGAGCTGCTTTAAGCTGCTGAGATTCCCCATGCTCTCCGGAAGGATCTCAATCTCGGACTGATTCAGCTCAAGCCTGGTTAGCGATTTCAGCTGGGTGAACGAGGGTGGGAGTGGCTGTTTCTGAGAGTTGCCGTCCAGCAGAAGAGTATGCAGTTGCAGCAGCGCGCCAATGTCTTTAGGAAGGATTAGCTGCTGCAACCTCACGAGGCAGAGAGTGGTGAGGGATGTGAGGCTGCCGAAGCCTGCTGGCAGCTGCTGAAACCCCTCGTAGTCGAGTATGAACAGGGTCTCCAGGGATGTGAGTAGGCTGAAAGAACCTGATAGGCTCGTGAGTGCGAGATTCTGTAGAACCAATGTTCTGAGGGCAGGAAGCTGACCGAAATTCTCGGGCAGGGTGGAGAGACTGCGGCAAATTAAAATCGTCAAGCTTGTCAAGGAACTCGAAAGAACCAGCTGCTGCGATTAGTCAGAAAGATTCTCGAGTGGCAGAAACTCCAGCACCAAAGTCTTGAGTGCTGCCAGCCGTCCAAAATTCGCAGGTAGGCTCGAGAACGAGGAACAGGAAGAAATCGTCAGGCTCTCCAAAGCGCTAAGACAGGTGAACTTGTCAGGCAGATGTGAAAAGTTTTTGCAGCTGCTAATACTCAGCTCGCGAAGGCACGGGAGAAGCTCCGCGATGTTTCCGGGAAGCTGCTCGAGCTGGTTGGAGTTGGTAATCAGCAGCCGCTCGAGACGGCTACACGGTATTTCTGACGAAATCGTTAGGCAAGATTCCAAGGTCAGCAGCGGCAGTTGTGAGAGGGTGAGAGCAGCAGCGGGCTGATCGCGGGGAGGGATATCGATTCTATCTGAGATCGAAAGACTGGTGATGCTCGGAAGGCGACGCAGACCCGCCAATCGCTTCGAGTTGACATAATACGAGGCGATTCGGAGAGCTGTCAGAGAGGAAAGGCTTGCGAGATGAGGCGATTCGAGCATTGACGGAGTTGTTAATGTGAGGGAGTGCAGGTGCTGGAGTCGGAAAAAAGAAGCTGGTTGTTTCATGAATGGCTGGAGGCAGAAGAGCGAAAGCTGCTTCAGCTTCGTGCAACCCTGGAATAGCCGATCCAGACCGGATTCGGTTACTGGGTGGTTGTCCTGGCTTATTCCGTGGTTTCTGAGTGTGATGCTATCTCCCACGTCAGCTTAGGGCATGACGACGCGAGGCGATCGAGGAGATCGTCGTTGATAGTCGTCACGCTGGCGTCGCACAGATGCAGACGGGTCAGATTCGGGAAGCAAGCGACAGCCGTCGCGAGGAATTCGAGAGGAACGTCGAGGTCTTCTCGGAGGGAAAGGGTGGAGACGGAGAGCTGCGCGAGTCGCCTCCAGCGACGGCAGACCGACGCGACGAGGAGATGGTAACCCGCGGAGGTTGCGGAGAGAGGGTGATGCGTTTGCGCGAAGTGCGACTGGTATAGCCGGTTATCGAGGCTAGGTGCGCGGTGGGGATGAAGGTACCTCGGCTTGGGTCCCAGGGAGGTCCACAGAGCGTCGCTTTCGACTGTGCGGGTGCCCGGATTCGCGGTGTGCCACAGGATTCGAATGAGAAGATCGTCAGAGAGGCGGTGAATGTGTGCGCGAGGCTCCATGATAACTCTAGGCCCTGAATGATAATGCTATAACGGATTAACTATATGTACGAAGTGGATCAACTAATCAGATCTGGTCGAGGCAACCAAGAACCCTGCTGTGGTACCTCGACTCTCCCGCCCGGCAGCGTTTGGTCACTCAATGCGATAGTTACCAATTTAGCGATGCTCGCGAGTGATCGCTGTGGAGCGAATGAATTGCAGGATGTGCAACCATGTGTTCCTGCCGAAAGGTACAGTTGGACGACCAAGCGGCTTGGTGACGAAGCGACTCATGCAATCCTTTTCGTGAAGATTCGTGATTCGCAGTTTCGTGACAACACAATCGTGTACTAGTGTCTGAACAATGTCTGTAAATCTACATTGCTCGGTTTTGTGTTCGAGCACCTGGTAACCGTCGCCGAGGATTCCCGGAATTGGGCCTTAACGCCTCTGAGGTTAGGGGCGGGTCCATCTTTGCACATGTACAAATTTCAGATCCGTTACCACATTTTGGCATGTAACAGAACTACAAACGTACCAGAATCCATTTGACGCGAGACTGTGCATATATGATGACATTTCGGAAACGTGCCCGGGGGCGTGCAGAACCCGTCCAAAGGTTCACTTCAAACACGTTTTGTGTCAAACACGTCATAAGTTAACCCCCGTTTTCGCAAAGTGCTTTTCCCCAACGAATCCCAGCTCCGTTACAGGTGCGAAAAAACCTCGCTCTATTGGGTAACCTCTCATCCCCAGATACTGTACCCCGCAGCGTTACTGCAACAGTCAAACTTGACTGTACACCAGGGCGAACTCCAAACATTTCCATTTTCCGAGTCGTACACTCAGAACTGGACAGGAAATGTTTGGAGTTTGCCCTGGTGTACAGTCAAGTTTGACTGGTGCATTGACATAAAAAATTAGGAAAAAACGGGAGTGTGCAAAGTTGGACCCGCCCTAACCCTCTGAACCGTCACGACTCCCCCCACCTCCCGCCTCCAACCACTGGTCAGGTCAGCCAAAGTCTTCAATTTCCTCCTTTGATTCAAAGCACGCCGACAGTCTGTGCGGTGCAGAGCGTTTAGCACAAATCCGAGATGTTTCTATATGTTTAACGGCGGGCGAAAAAGCGGTTGACATGGTCGAACTTTTGATATCTACCGATTTTTCACAGACCACACCAACCAACCTTGCAAGCTGGTTGACCTTGCATATCACACCGCACTTCCCTTGCGTCGGGAAATTACCCCGCGTAGACATAGACGAGAGTAAGTTTCCGTGTTACTAGCCATTTGATAGCAGCTGGAGTCGACTTTCTCTTTTGCTCAAACGTCTCGATTTCCCGCGCTGCAACGCGCACAAGACAAACCGGACTCACGAACTCCTGAAAGGCGCAACGCGACAGACCCGTCGCCGGATCACGCGGTTCCGGCAAGGCGCGTGCGCGTAGGGTTCGGGCTCTGAGACTTAAACGTAGTGAGTACGTGACTTAGCAGGTCACGAAAGTAGCAGTAGCGGGCTCCAAACTGGATCTGAAAGTTGAGAAATCAGGTTGCTTTCTAACCCAGGTTGCAAACAGAAAGTTTCACTATGAAAAATTGATACAATGAGGAAAACAGAACATGATATTTAAGCAATCTGAAATCCGAATTTCAATGTGCGCCTCGCGTAACGCGCCTCGTCGCGAATCCGAATTTCGTAACAGTAACCTGTCAGATTATTATAGCTGATGCATGTTTGTAGGCTATAGTGGGGTAGCACATATGGGGTACAGTTTGCTAGGGTTGTATTTGTACCCAACTCTGACTTAGTCAATTCATTCCCGTTCAGTTAGTTTCACATGGTATAGAGCGGGTCCCTCCTAAGGACCGTCCTTTGGGCCCACCCACAATTTTTTTTTTCCTGCCCGGAGCGCGCCCTATTCTCCCCGAGGCGCGCTCCCCCTAGTGCGCGTCGAGCTGCCCTTGTGGCGCCCCGAGAGTCGCGCGCGCGACTCATTTTTTTTCGCGCGCGCGGCCTAGGCCCCACTTCGCGCGGCCCTTACAGCCGCGCCGCGCCGCCCTCTCGGCTCTGCCGCGCCGCGCCGCCCTCAAGACGGCCGCGCGGCCTCTTCGTCGCTGCAGCAGGCCCCCCCCGCTGCACCTCTGTCGGCCCCGCAGCCGCCTTACCTGACGGCCGCCGCCTCACCTGACGGCCCGCCGCCTCGACTTCTGGCCCGCCACCTCACCAGACGGCCCCCCCCCGCCTCACCTGACGGCCCACCGTCTCACCTGCTGGCCCGCCACCTTACCTGACGGCCCCGCCGCCTCACCTGACGGCCCGCCGCCACCTTACCTGACGGCCCCGCCGCCTCACCTGACGGCCCGCCGCCTCACCTACTGGCCCGCCACCTGACCTGACGGCCCCGCCGCCTCACCTGACGGCCCGCCGCCTGACCTGCTGGCCCGCCACCTCACCTGACGGCCCGCCGCCTCACCCGCTGGCCCGCCACCTGACCTGACGGCCCCGCCGCCTCACCTGCTGGCCCGCCACCTGACCTGACGGCCCCGCCGCCTCACCTGACGGCTCGCCACCTCGCCTGCTGGCCCGCCACCTGACGGCTCCGCCGTCCCCTGTCCCGGCCCCGCCGCTGCACCCTAACGGCCCCGCCGTCCCCTGTCCCGGCCCCGCAGCTGCACCCTGACGGCCCCGCCGAGCCGCCCAGCAGCAGCCGAGCCGCCCAGCCGCAGCCGAACCGCCCAGCAGCAGCTGAGCCGCCCAGCAGCAGCCGAGCCGCCCAGCAGCAGCCGAGCCGCCCAGCAGCAG